CATAGCACTTGCCACTCACAGATATGTTCTATGTTTACTGACCAGCTCCATGGAATCAGAGACTCTGCCGACATTGTTTTCTGTTGTACTGCCCAACTCCTGGAACAATGCTCAGGGATATAGCAAGTGCTCAGCAATTTCTTGTGGAAGAAGGACTGGGACCCACATTCTTTACACACATTGATAAGATATATGGTACCCTCCAATATGGGCAGTGGCATAATTTTATTCATTCTGATTCATATCAGGGCTCCAGGACACAATTGACTTGCCCAAGGACACACAACCAGGACCTGGAGCTCCACATTTAAGAATCTTATCTACCAAGATCCTGGACAGAGACCTCACAACCAAAACGGTAAGAGATTTTGCCAGAGACACAGACTCCAAACAAATCAGATACTCTGGGACACCAAAAACAGCTCATTGAACACAATCTAAAACAGATTCCAAAAATCTCTGCAGAGAGAGCTCACAACTTGAGTCACAGAAACCCAAACAGAGCAGAGATCCTGCACACTGCGACAACCTCCCTCACACCAGTGGACCAAAGTCCTCTCTCGGGAGATAAATGAAAACTGCTGATACCTCACATCCTGGAGACAGACCCCCAAAGCATGTAAACACTTCCCAACTGAGTATCAAGAACCCCCAAACAAAAAGAAGTTCAAATAACTCAGAAACCCTGCATAACCTTAAGATAAAGTCCCCATACAAATCAGAGAACTGATACCCTGGAAACAGAACCCCAACCAGGTCGGATACTTTCTACCTTAAGATACAGCCTCCTCCCCACGCCCAAGCAGCTCAGAGACAACCTGGGATCCAGAATCACAAACTGCTCAGACTTCATCGCCTGGGGTGCGGACACTGACACAGAGATCTCACCCCCAGGAACACAATGCCCAAAGCTCAGAAAAGGCACAGTCAGGTACACAGGCACACAAACCCTAAAAGACCTTAGACCAGGCGCACAAAATCCAGTCAAAATATCCGACTCACTCTCAAGTCCCCAAAAGACTTAGAGACATCAAAGGTACCCAAACAGCAGCTGTGATGCCAGCCCTAGCGATACACATCCCCACGAGGCCGGACACGTTACTTCTTAGGCAGGGACACCAAACCAGCTCAAATCCAACCCCTGCCCCTCCGCACCTTAACTGCATGCCATCTGTCGGATGGACGGTGCCTTGCCCAACGCGCCTCGCTAGGCTGGGGACTGAGTTCGAGCTGAACAACACTGAAGGTGCGCACGTGAAGACAGCCCCGTCACCCGCGCATCCAGCGTTGGACTCTAGCTACCAGTCGGCGATTGCGCTGAACCTCGCCACCCACCGGGGCGGCATCCTCAGCCCCATCCGGACAGTTAGTTGGCCCGCAGTCCAACTCGTAGAAAAATTTTACGCTCTGAAAACACACGCACACACGCACGCACGCACGCACATAAGCCTCATTCTCAGCTCCAGCTCACAATCGTCGCGCCGTCCCACACAGATGGCCAATGGGCCTGGGCCGGGGAAGAGCGAGGCCACCACTAGAGGTCCAGTCGGAGGCACTCTGCACGCAGGAAGCGCTTAATCCGTCAGTCTGGCCGTGGCCAGTCACCGCCCAGCACTGTCCGTGACCCCGCCCCTCACCGCTCCGAACCACTCTCAACCGCCGTGACTGTCGCAGCTGGGTGAGACCATGTAGATATAGAGGGGTGTAGTGATGTTCACATCAGGGCCGCAGCCTCAGACCCGGGTCCACTCGGGCTCCAGTGCGGCAGGAAAATTGAAAACTCCGAGTACTTATGGATCCAGCGCAGGAGTATGCATACCCTCAGTGTCGTCAGAAACGTAATGGATTATTTTCAAATGGATTCCCCCCTCAAGTGGTACTTTCCCCGAGCGGAAGGTCCTACCTCTGAGCCCTTCAGTGGTACGTCCCAGGACAGAGCTGTTGCCTCTCTTGCGCCCCTTGGTGATGCGAACCTGGAACAGCTTGTCCTTAGAGATACCCATAGACCATTCTAGGCTGGTCCGCAAAGGGTGTGGGAGGGCAACGTCAGCATGAAAATATCCCAAATTCGTTGCAGACTTGGATTCTTGAAAAAGTCTCCTAAACTGAAATTTACCTCCCTGCTGTGGCCACTATGATAACAGGGAGTGTTGCAAGCATTTCCTATGGGCTGAGCGTTGTGCTGGCTTGTGTCTCCCTGGGTGACGCAGAATAGGTCTAGTGGGGATACCCAGCCACACTCTGCCAATGGGGCAGGAGGGCTAGAACTCCCAACTGGGGTCAGAAGGACATGTGTGGAGCAGGTCTCAGTCCTTGACCATCAGCAGTAGGTGAGAGAGACAGCAGGATCTTTGATTTTGTTCAGAACGGGCCAACTCCCAGGGGCACCAAGGACACTGAGTAGGTGAGATAAAGACCATGAGCTTTGTCACAATACTGTCACCCCTGAACATGTTCCCTAGCAGAATCCTCAACCTCTCAAGCTATGCCTCTCACCACAACTTTACATTTATTTATTCAGTCTCTCATTCATTTGTTACCCAGAGGAGTTTCAGGATTTATAAAGAACAGAATGCATTTATTTGAGCAAAAGGAGTTGCCACCAGAGAGACTGCAGATCCAGTTAGCAATCCACACTGTACTCCAAAGAGAACAAATAAATGCAGGGTTTATAAAGGCAATAACCACAAAGTGTAATTCTTTCATGCAAATGAAAGATTGCTAGCTAGGCTAGCAGGGATTGGTTAGTTCCAACATGCAAACGAGGAAGGCAAAACGACAGGAAGGAGGTAAATTTCATTCGTGTCCATAGAGCAGTTGTTCCCGATTATTCATGACTCAGCCTTGAGCTGCGTTTAGCATCAGGGTAACAACTCAATAGCAGCTCTGAAAACTGAGGCACAGGATATGCATAGGCCCCACTTCCCTAACACCCTCTGATTCTATTTTAAGCAACATTTTCAGCCATACTTATTCCATGTTATTTTCTTCCATTATCACGTTTGGTCCCACCAGATGATGTGTCAGTCACCATAAAGGGAGTTGAGAATACGACTGTGTGGAAAGAGAAAAAAAATTGTCCTCATGGAGCTTACACTATATTGGGATCTAACTGCACAAAAATGTAAGTAATTTGTCAGGTGTTAGAAATTGCTGTGATTTAAATTAAATTGGAATAATGAAATAACACAAGGAACATTTCTAGAAATAGTGGTAGAGGAAAGTCTAAGATGGTGACATTTGAGCTGAAACCTAGAAGAGATGAACGTGTGGGAGAAAATCATCCCAGAGAGAGGTAGGAGCCAGTAGGAAAGTGCCGGAGTGGAACTCAGGCTAGCACGTATGAGGAGCAGTGTGGCGGGTGGCGTGGGTGGCAAAGCATGATCGCGGGAGAGGTAGGATATGAGGTGGTCAGAGAAGTGGGGACCAGGACCTGTAGGGCCTTCCGGGCCATTAGGGGTGGGATTGGGGCCTTTGACTTACTCTAAGTGAGTTATCTGAGGGTTTTTAGCAGAGAAGGCCCATGCCCTTTAGGAATCCAGAGCCCAGGTCGCCCAATGTAAGGGGAGTTGCTCCCATTTTGCCCCAAAGAAGAACCCCTTCCCCATCCCCTCTGCAACAGAACATGACTTCCCTGGACAATCCCGTGCACTCAGGGGGAACTCCCACAACTGCTCCCCACACAGATACACATAAAACGATGATACCCTCAGGAGAGGTGAGGCAAGGGCCCTCAAGGCAGGAGTGAGGTCATACCGAGGCCGGTGTGTGAGAGGGACCAAGTAACAGGCACAGAGAAGACAGAGAGAGAGGGCATTAGAGAGTCAAGTACAGAGTGACTATTTCTGGCAGGACAGTGTCTCCATTCAATTAGCTACCACCTCTGGATCCCCAGCCCTGCTACTGGATGATGTGCCCGTCGCTTCACGGGACAGGACATCCCTCCCCAAGGACTGTGTCTAGGGGATAACTCAGCTGCTGGGGGCCTGGGCCTCAGCTACACTGTCTTGACACACGTCAGGACCCTCTGCCCATTTGAACAAGGACATGTTCCACTTAAAAAGAAGATCGTGCTGTACACAGGGTCCCCCTCACCTCCTCAGGCCCTTGACTGCCTTCCCGCTGATCTCAGCGCCAAAGAATGCTTTCAAGGGGGGACAGGAGGCAGGGATCTCTACATTTGCAGTGGCGCCTTGTGCAAACTCATGAATCTGAGTTATTTCACTACCTGCGTGGAGGCTCACGTCTCCATCTTCTACCACCACTTCCACAGGTAGTGTGAGGATCACATTCTGTACATCAAGTCCCAAGCATGCTCTGTGAGCGAGAAACAAGAGAGACAGATATCTTGGTAGTGAGTCAGTTGCAGGGTGCTGGGCGCCTTTGGCAAACCTCACCCTTCCCCCTTTCTTGTCACCCTCTGTCTGGCCTGGGCTGTGCTGAGCCTTCCCCTGCCTCCTCCAAAGGGCCCAAGTTGTTTCCAGTTCCTTCCTCCTCAGGAACTGATGTCTTCCATCCTCACTGAGTCCCAGGCGTCTCATCTGCAAATGGTGATCTCTTTTTAGGGATTCAGGAAGATTTCCTGAGTTAATATGTGGACATAATATTGTCACATTGCCCAAAGCAAAGGTGGGGCTGCTGTCATCAGATACTGTTCTCATCAGTATTCTTAGCCCATGCTTTTCAGCTGTGCAGGACTGAGGACTTGTCCTCCCTGAGGATGGGGATGCTAAGATTTCATCTCCAAGGCACCAAGGCAGGGATGGGAGAAATCCCCGGAGAGGTGAAACCACACACCTAGTGAGAGCACTGAGCGAGGAAGGTCCAACCTGCCTTCCTCTCAGGAACATCCTGGAATACATGAACAGCTCAGAGACCCAACCCTCTAGACAAAAAGGGCTCCTCCGTATAGTTCAGAAATCTCATGCCCCGGGACAGAGACCCACAAATGTTTCAGAGACAACCCGTATAAACCAACCTCAAACACCAATCACGGCTGAGGACAAGGACTTCAGCCAGCCAAGAGAATTCCTACTTGTAGGACACAGATCCCCTTCACTCAGAGGACTCACACACCTCTCCGCAGAGCCTGCAGGCTGCACCCTGGGTCTCAGAGCCACAATTTTCAGTTCAAGGCTGTTCTGTGAGCAGTGACAGTGAGTGAGTATCTGTGTAGCAGATCCCCTTGGTATTTTAAGCCCCAAGTATTTTTTTTATTAAGTTTATTGGGTAACATTGGATAATACGATTATATAATATTCAGGTGTACATTATAATTTTGCATCTGTATACTCTATTGTGTATTTACTACCCAAAGTCCAGTTTCCCTCAGCTACCATATATTGATCCCCTTTACCTATTTCACCCTCCCCCTAGCCCCTATATTTGACTCTCTTTAACCGTCTACCTACCCCTTCCTCCCCCACCCCCTACCCTCTGGTAACCACTAGTCTATAGTCCATGTCCATGAGTCTCTGTTTGTTTGTCCTGTTCATTTGGTGCTTTTAGGTTTATATCCCACATATAAGACAGTTCTAATGATACACTGACATTACTTGATACGTAAATGTTTAACACCTTGTGACTTTGTACATTTCTTAATTGCAATAACTTTTAAAAGAACGTATCTCTCTGAATTGTATGCTTTGTCATTCATTGTGCCTTCTATGTATTCGTCCTTCCTAGCACATTGCCTGGCCTCGATAAATATTGTGTGAATGAATAAATAAGCAAACCTATACTTTAAAAAAAATAAAAAATAAATTAAATAAATAAAAATACCCTTTTCTTGAGATAATAGAAAACTATAACTAGTTAAGTACAGAACGATGATAGCTTAAACAATGTCAGTAGTCACAAGACATCAATCTATGACTAAAGAAACACATATTTCTCTTTCAGTTTCCAGGAACTTCCTCTCCCCTCCTCCCTAGCTGTATAAAACTCCCTACTTTTGCTTTTCAGGAGAGACGGATTTGAGAGGTCTTGCTCTCCCATCCCCTTGCTTTAGCCAAATCACATAAACCTTTCTCACTTTCCAAGCACTGATGTCTCAATATTTTGGCTTTACCTGCACATCCAGCACACTAACCTAGATTTTGGGAGGTGATTTTGCAACATCTCTTCTTCCATACTGTGGGGTAGAGGCCTGAAATATTGCAGTTTCTGATGTCCACAGTCACCACCACGTCGTTATGAGGAAGGCAGTTTCACTCCAGGGATAGGGAGGGCCTCTGGGGGTGAGGGGTTCTGATAGTGACCTCTCATGTCTGGATCCTGGGAATGGACATGGCCTGACTAACCGTTCCCACCTCTGGTCATGGGGAATTTTGCATCCTGCCCCATGGTGTTTGAGGGTGAACCCCAGATCCACAGGAGGCAGCCCGTGGACCCTGTCATCTGCCACTGCCACAGAGCTCCAGCCAAGAATGTT